TATTGAGAGTCCAAACACTGAAGAGCCAATTCATCAATGAGTAGCTTTTCAGATCCTGAACCATGCAAGCCAGTGGCGACAGCGGAGAGGGAAAAAAAAACTTCACCAACCAGCAACCTTCTTGCTGTGAGGCGATTGTGCCACCCACTCCGCCACCGTGACGCCATTATTATTATTATTATTATTATTATTATTATTATTATTATTATTATTATTACTGATATTTCCCATTTCTTTATTTGTAAAATGTGTAAAGACAGTAAATATAACATGGGATAGTCAAATAATAATAATAATAAATAATAATAACAATAAAATACAGTATAGTACAATACCGTGTCTGTTTACCCAAAGTTTTTCAGTGCAATTCTTCCATTATTAAAAGTTTTTAAAAACCAAAAACTTGAGATAGGGAAAAAAATAAGTAAATTAATGTAAAAATCCATATTTGTTCCTGAAAGGATTCATTAATTTATTGATTTATTAAACAGTACGCATCCTTCTAACCAAAAGAGAACCCAAATACAGTTTTTGGTGTTATTTTTATATATTTAATTTTAAAAACCTGTAAATGGAACTTTATATTTACTTTAACATTTCATTCTGTTTATTTATAAATGAATGAATAAATATAAATTAACTAAAAATCTGGTTCAGAGCCTCAAAAATGACTGGTCTTAGAAAGCCGTTGGCCAGGAGTGTGGGAAACTGTGGCACTTTTTAAGGGTGGCTGCTTGAGGTTTAGTCTCTGGATTAACCACCAGCACAGTGCATTTCTTGGAAATATCCAGTCACCGTGACCATGAGTTTTCTTCTCCTTGACTACAGTGTGTAATGAGCCACTAAATGAGACAAATGTCCGCTGACTTGAACACACTGATCTTCTGTTTAACTCCTGAAGTGCCTTGAAATGCGCAGCTTTGTTTGATGTGTGTTGTAATTCCAGCTGGAACACAACGACAGGGCGGGGCATATGGATTAGCTCCTCCCCCTTTAAAACCTAGCCAGTAGCGTTTTGTTTATATCACAGCTTGATTATTCAGAATCATTGGCGCATAACAAATAACAGCCTACATGTGTGAAACCTAAAATTCAATGCTCTGAGTACGTTTAGTTGCTCATTTCAGATGAAAAATCCACTAGAGGGTGCTGTTTATGTAATACAACATTATTTGTGTAATATTGTTAGCAACTGTTGAATACTTGAGCTCATGCATGAACATAATGTCTTTAGGCATGTAGTGTATGATGAGGACTGCAACTCCCATGATTCCACAGTCATGTTGTAATCAAACTACGCTTTTGTCTGTTGTGAATACACACCCTCTAGTGGCCAAAATGACAAACTGCACTTTTAACCCGTGAACACTTCAGCTCAGACAGTGTTTTTCTAGGATTCATTAGAGCTGTGTGTTAAACGTCGACTCTGACCTCCCTCAACCACAGTCATCTGTATCTAATCCCTGTCAGACCCTCAGTAGTGGCCAAGACCAAACAGACCCCGAGCGTCTAATCCTCTCACACACCAGCACACTTCTGCTCTCTCTGCTTTCGAGCCGTGTTGACTCTCTGTTGACCTGTTTGTGTGGTTCACTAGCGCTTCATTCAACAGCGAGGGATTGAGAGCCTCTGGAGTGTGCTTGTGGACTGTTATCTGGATAGTGAAATTACACACATCAAGCTCTCGGTTTGTACTGGAGCTTCTCACAGTGCTTGAGATATGTTTGTTTAACATATACTATATAGTGGATTAAAAATGTATGATTGTAAAAATAATTTCTATTTTAATATTAACCTGGTCAAATAATGTTATTATGATAAATGTATTTGTTTATATTTGCCATATTATTTACATGCATAGTTGAAACATTTCTATAAATATTTATTAATTAATAATAAATAAAATACAAATAAATATACAAAAAAATATGATAATAAATCACTTTTTTACATTAAAGAAAAAAACAACTATGTAAGAAAAATATATACTTTAATTTTAAAAAGTATATTATTATTATTATTATTATTATTATTATTATTATTATTATTATTACTATTATTATTATTATTATTATTATTATTATTATTATTATTATTTAGTATATTTATTCTAATTTTATTTATTATTAATAAATAATACTAATAATATACTTAATATTAATTAAAAATCATTTAATATTAACAATTAATAAAGAACAATAATAAATTAAAATAACTATTAATAAGTCACAAATATACTACACCGTAATTATACATACATACATACATACATACATATAAATTATATAAATTATACATACATGCATATATATAAATAATTTCTATTTTGATATTAACCTGGTCAAAGAATGTTATTATGATAAATGCAATTGTTTATTATTTGCCATATTTTTTACATGCATATTTGAAAAATTTCCATAAATATTTGTTTAATTAATAATAAATAAAATACAAATAAATATAAAATAATAAAAAATAAATAATAATAATAATAATAATAATAATAATAATAATAATATTAAATCACTTTTTTACATTAAAGAAAAAACAAAAATATATACTTTAATTTAAAAAAAATAGTATATTATTATTATTATTATTATTATTATTTAGTATATTTATTTGTATATTATTTATGAATAATTAATACAATTAATATACTTAATAATAATAAAAAAAATTAATATTAACAATTAATAAATAACAATAATATTTAATTAAAATAACAGAAGTTATACAGTGGTCAATAAACCACTGTTCTAAACCACCTTCTCTAAGCTTTCTCTCCTTCAGCACACACCCACAGCTCAACTCATGATCTGCACATGATGCTCTCGCACTCTGACAGATGTGTTTCTCCATAGCACAGTTTTCAGACAACCTCTTCTTGGCCTTCTGCTTCACTGGGCCTCAGTAGCCCTGACCTGACTTAACCCGACAGAGCCAAAGCTGTTGTTGTATTACTGAGAAAGAAGCATGTCGAGGATCCTGCTAACACCTGTGCAAATATACATAAGAATCCAGCATTAACACTCATCAGGAGATGAATGAAGAACTATTCATTCATTCATTCATTCATTCATTCATTCATTCATTCATTCATTCAGTAAAAAAAAAAAACAAATAAAAAAATGAATACACAAACCAATCCACAATCTAACAAATGAATGAATAAATGAATGAATGAATTAATTAATGTATTAATTCCTTCATTTGATTGGTTGATCCATTCATTCATTCATTCATTCATTCATTCATTCATTCATTCATTCATTTGAGTGGTTGATTATTCATTCATCCATTGTATGAATATTTTTCCATTCATCCATTATTTTTTATTTACACATTCATTCCTTCCTTTCCTAATTTGATTGTTTTATCATTTATTCATTCATTCATTTGTTAGATTGTTGATTGGTTTGTGTATTAATTTTTTCATTTGTTATTTTTTAAAAAATTTTTACGATAAAAACACAGTGAATCCTGAAGGTAGAAGCTTATTAACAGTACAGTACAGTACAGTAGTTATGACTAATATCCATAGTAATGTTTTCTGATATGCAGTTGTTTATGCATCACTTACAGTTTGAATTAGCGCGGAGTGTTTGTAGAGCGTGCACAAAGATGATTTTTGGCCTCATAAACAGGGATAATAGAGAATAATAAAGAAGACAGATGAAGCTGTTTAGGCGCCGCGGGTATCATTGCACACTTGTATCTTCAAGCCCTCTGCTTCTTGTTATCCTCTGCTTTTTTTTATTTTTCTCTCGCTCTGAGGAAGCTTTTTCAGATATCCATGTACACTTATATATGTACACTTATATATATCAGTTAACATGGAGATCTGATATGATATATAAATATATATAAAAGCGTCTGCGATGTGTTTCTGATTCTGTTTTTGCACTTCAAACTACAGCATATATGTGTATATATATATATATGTGTATATATGTATTAAAGGGTAAGTGAATTATAACAGCGCAAACTGTTCTGTAACTGTAGTAGTGCAGTGCGTCATTTGTTTAACCCTTTAAGGTTACGTCCTGACTGACTGACAGGTATATGATGCGTGAGTCCATAAGTAAATAAATAATAAGTAAATAAAGTAAACAGTCAAATAAACACTCTGTTCATAAAAATATTCAAATAACATAATTATTCAAATTATTTAATTTAATAAAAAATTTATAGTGGCTCAGTGGTTTGCACTGTGGCAAGAAAGTCACTGGTTCGAGTCCTGCCTGGGTCAGTTGGCATTTCTGTGTGGAGTTGGCATGTTCTCCCCGTGTTGGAGTGGGCTTCCACCGGGTGCTCCCATTTCCCCCACAGTCCAAACACATGCGCTATAGGCGAATTGGGTAAGCTAAATTGTCCGCAGTGTTTGTATGTGTGATTGTGAGAGTGTATAGGTGTTTCCCAGTACTAGGTTGCAGCTGGAAGGGCATCTGCTATGTAAAACATATGCTGGATAAGTTGGTGGTTCATGCCGCTTTGGTGTCCCCTGATGAATAAATGGACCAAGCTGAAGGAAAATGAATATTTAAAATAAAATAAAATAAAATAAAATAAAATAAAATAAAATAAAATAAAATAAAATAAAATAAAATAAAATAAAATAAATAAATAAATAAATAAATAAATTAACAAATTAACAAATTAATAAATAAATAAATAAATAAATAAATAAATAAATTAATTAATTAATTACAATATAATATTAAAAATTAAATATTCATTATTGATTATTAAAGAATTTTATTCCACCCATATTTTGACAAAATTATATTTGAAAAAATAATAAAGTAGCCAACTTGGTTGCCTTTAATAATGTGCTGAAAATAAAACCCAAAATATTAAGTCATTCTAAATGGGAAACTATGCATGCTTGCATGTACCTGGAATTATTGAGAAGACTTAATTTTTTTATTATGTTAGACAACTTTCAAAACTTTAATCCTTTACTAATAAACTTTTTTCTACTCTATTATTTCTTTCAGAAAGCGTGGAGTCTCTGGTGCGTCAGGCGGAGAACCACACCCTCTCCATCCTCCATCAGTCCCAGCGTGATCTCTCCAGCCCAGCAGCATCAGCACCAGTCGGGGAGTTTTTCACAGAAGTGGCTCTGTTCATCCTGGGCTCTGAGCTCAGTCTAGAAGAGTCCTCTCAGAGCTTCTTCAACGCTCTTTTCCCCTTAATATACGAGCGTCTGATTGACTCCCGTCTGTCTCCTCCATACGCCGAATGCCTGCGCTCGTCTGCTCAAGATCTAGCACCGTTCGGAGCAGCCCCAATCCGCCTGGCGTCCCAAATCGCCCATGCTTCTCTACCTGCTCGCGTGTTTCTCCAAGCGCTCCATTTGGGCATCGAGATCATAAATACGACCGATCACATCCAGCTGAGCCGCGAGTGCAGACGTGGCCTACTGAGGATGAGCTACTGCCCGCACTGCAAGGCTCTGACCTCCAGCAAACCCTGCTTGGGATACTGCCTGAACGTGGTGCGCGGGTGTCTGGCTAACCTGGCTGAAGTGGATGCCCACTGGAGGGAGTTTGTACGCTCGCTGGAGACGCTGGCAGTACGGATGCACGGAGAGCTGGATCTGGAGCAGGTGCTGCTGGGGGCGCATGAGCTGGTGAGGGACGCTGTGGCGCACGCTCAGAGGAGCACAGCGAGGATACATGCGCAGGTGAGAGGATGAGTGTGTGGTTAGCACTGTCACCTCACAGCAAGAAGGTCACTGGTTCGAGCCCCGGCAGGGCCAGTTAGCATTACTGTGTGGAGTTTGCATGTTCTCCCCGTGTTGACGTGGATTTCCTTCGGGTGTTCCGGTTTCCCCAAGTCCCCAAGTGAGAGTGTATGGATGTTTCCCAGTGATGGGTTGCAGCTGGAAGGGCATCTGCTGTGTAAAACATGTGCTGGATAAGTTGGTGGTTCATTCCACCGTGGCGTCCCCTGATTAATAAAGGGACCAAGCTGAAGGAAAATGAATGAATATTACTTTTATTTTTTCCTGTAGTGTTAAACCATCACTGCAGACATTTGTAAACACACTCGCTGCATATCTCAGTGACTATAGCTAAGCTGAAGGCCTTCAGCTGCCAAACGCAAGGCATTCTGGGAATGTTTGGCTCCATCGCTGCATGTGTGACTGTGAACAGCTGATGTTCAAGCCCGACTGCATTCCTCATCGCCAAACAACACTTGCAACCACAGCTTTAGCATGCTGCACGCGACATGTTCGAGAAAGCTGCAGAAATGCCAAGGCCAAGGGTGTGAAAGAAACATTATTTCTCCTTCACCTCATTGTGAACGCAAGGATTTTGGATGTGCCGCACATATCCAAGAAAACCAACCATGAGCCTTCAGCCTTCAACCATGTGCCGCCCTGAGCAGATACTTCATTCATTCATTCATTCATTTTCTTTTCGGCTTATTCCCTTTATTATTCTGGGGTCGCCACAGAGGAATGACCTGCCAACTTATCCTGCATATGCTTTACACAACGGATGCCCTTCGAGCTGCAACCCAGTACTGGGAAACACCCACACACTCTCATTCACACTCATACACTATGGTCAATTTAGTTTACTCAATTCACCTATAGCGCATGTGTTTGGACCTTGGGGGAAACCGGAGCACCCGGAGGAAACACACGCTAGAGATCTGCGCGGGACTAAATTTTCAATCCCGCTCCCGCCCGCACCCGCCAGGTTTTAGCCCGAACCCAACTGCTCCCGCTTATATTAAGAATTTGTTGTCCCGCTGCCCAACCCGCCCCGTTTTCTGCCCGCCGCGCCCGATCCCGCTAAAGAGCGGGGGAAAACAAAACCAAAAATCCCCCAGCTAAACAGTCCAGACAGCCAAGCTGTCTGTATAAACACACACACACAGCACCAAGCACACACACACAGACAAATCTCTCTCTCTCTCTCTCTCTCATACGCGCGCACGCACTAACACACACACAAGCACCAAGCAGACACACAGGCGTTTGCTGTTATATCAACTCAAAGGCTTGTAATACCATGTATCAAGTACCAATGTAATACCAAAAGGTTTTATATAAAGGTATATAAATACTGAGTCGTGCCAGCTCCGGGCCGCAGCGCACATTACTCTCGGGCTGATTCCGGCGCGGATGCGGCAGCGTCGGCTCGCTTACGGCTGCCGCATCTGGCCCGAATCGGGCTGGAATCGGGCAGTGAGTCCACAAGCATCCGGAGTCCGGCAGCCAGATCCGGGCCGAGTGGTAAGTCTGTGGCAGGCGAGAATCTAGCTGGAACTGGCCCGAGTGTATTTTGCTATCTGGGAAAGCTCTCTCTCTCTCTCTCTCTCTCTCTCTCTCTCTCTCTCTTATTTGCGCGCGCGCACTAACATACACACACACACAAGCACCAAGCACACACACAGGCAAAGCTCTCTTTCTCTCTCTCTCTCTCTCTCTCTCATTCGCATAGCAATATCCGCGATATTGCTAGACAGCCCGCTCCCGTCCCAAATTAAACCCGTTACCGATCCGCGATTTATTCGGAAATTTATTCCCGCGCCGCAGAAATCTGGTCGGGTCCTGCGCCGCCCGCGGGACAGCCGTGGGAATGCAGACCTCTAACACACGCAAACACAGGGAAAACATGCAAACTCAACACAGAAATCCCAACTGACCCAGTCGGGACTCAAACCAGCGATCTTCTTGCTGTGAGGTGACAGTGCTAACCACTGCACCACTGTGCACCCGGTAACTTTATTTATTACAATTTGTCATAAAAGTTCAATTGCTACAATTCTTAGTAAAGTATTTCAGCGAGCACCCTATAAAGCAGGGGACCCTGCATTGTTTAGCTCCAACTGGCCTCAACACACCTGCCTGGGTGTTTCAAGTATACCTAGTAAGACCTTGATTAGCTTGTTCAGGTGTGTTTGATTAGGGTTGGAGCTAAAATCTGCAGCACACCGGCCCTTCAGGAACAAGTTTGATGACCCCTGCTATAAAGTGTTAACCTGCCAAAAAGTTGAGGTTTTATCATTTTGCTTTGCAGTACTGATCTCCAGCCACTGTCAGTGATAGTTCACCCAAAACATGAACATTTTACGCACTATTTACTCACCCTCAAGTGGTTTCAAAACTTTATCATTAATCTGTTATGAATAAAATATTACGATGAAAGCGGAAACCATGTTGAATTAGGGAAAATCAAATACTATGGAAGTCAATGGTTACTGGTTTTCAACATTTTTAAAAATATCTTCTTTCGAGTTTGACAGAAGAAACCCCATAATGGTATGAAACATGTGAAGGGAGAGTAAATGATGACAGAATTTTCATCTCCAGGTGAACTATCCCTATTGTACTGAATGTGTGTGTGATGTAGAGGTGTGTGTTGGTGTGTTGCAGGTGCAACGTGTGTGTGGTCAGTCCAGCAGATGGACGGAGCCGGTGAACAGCGTCCAGCACAGCACAGGACGAGCATCAGACTCGATACCACTGAGAGGAGCAAACAGAAACACAGAGGACTCGCTCAGCAGCCGCAGAACGTGAGACATCTGCATCCTCATCTATATTTACATTTACATCTACAGCTACGTTCAATAGTTATACCTTTACATACATCTGCAGCTATATCAATACAATTACATCTACTTCTACATCTATATTTACATCTACATTTATATCTAATAATACATCTGTTATCTGTCTTGAATTTAGATTACATACATAAAAATGAATCATAACATAACAAAATATATAAAAAAGTGGCCTTTATACCTGTTTAATGAATAATACGATTACAAATATAAGTTCACAATTTTTAATGTAATATATATATATATATATATATATATATATATATATATATATATATATATATATATATATATATATATATATATATATATATATATATATATATATAAAAAGAGAAAGAGAGAGAGATAGATATAGATATATATATATATAGATATATATATATATATATATATATAGAGATAGAGAGAGAGAGAATATATATATATATGTATATATATATATATATATATATATATATATATATATATATATATATATATATATATATATATATATATATATATATATATATATAT